CAGAGAACGCTCTAAATCAAGCTTGCGTACGCACTAGAATACCACTTCCACTGCATCACTATCTCCAGAGGCACTCTGCTGATGTGAGTTCCTGTTACATTGCTATTACATAAAACATGGTTGGTTTTTATACAGTAGAGTTTGTTCTGGAAATTACACATATAAGATTATCAGTGTGACATAGATTTTGTTTGTTTTCTGTCTTGTGTTTATTTTCAGAACAGATTAAAATGTGCATACTTGCTCTCTCTCAGGCTCAGTTTGGTAAAGCTACATAGCTTCCTTAATTGTTTCACAAAGATACAGTTTGGCAAGTAAAATAAGTCTTATTCTGTCTTACAGATTAAATAATTAAGGCAGAGAGATAACAAATAATTTTCCAAAGTTTATGTTCCAAAAGAGTTCAGGAAAGGGGCTTATACTAAATTTTGTCTGATCCATTGTATTTTTTTTACTCTACCGTTTAAAGGACTGAAAAACTGATTTCCTAAAAATAAAAATAAAAATAATAATAGCAATAACAGCAATGTTGCATTAAGAACTTCAAGGACATTGTCCAGATTTTGCCACAGCAAAATGCTTCTAACACATGTGAATACGTTCACATTTTATAGGTAAAGTGATTGACATTCAAAAAGTAAAATACCAACCCTAGGACTGTGTGAAATGATAAATAGAAAGCCAAAGGAATGTGACAATTTTCTAATATAGATTTCGCTAAGTTTATTATTGAGCAGAAAATATTAGGATGCATGCACGTAGGCCACAAGTGGCTACAAAGCTATGGAGGGTTTTCAGCTCTACTTATCTGAAATTAAAGCTAAAGTTTTTATACATCATTCTTCTTTTAGTACACAGACAACAATTAATTCAGTTTGTATCAGTAATTATTAAACTTAATCTGGCATTCTGGTTTTCGTAACTCTTCATCAGTACCTCCTGTGAGTGCCCCAACAGGGCATGTCATACAGATCATTACTCATGTCCACCATAAGGTTAGATTCAGTTCAACCTCCCCAAGGAACACATAATGGTGGTAAGTCTACAGACAAATCGATGTTTGTCTGATCCCAAATGCTGTGCTTTTAATCATGAAGTGATGAAATAGTAATTGTATGTTGGAGATTTAAATAACATTAGATCCACATGGAAAGAGTACATTTCCATCTAGAAGGGTTTATAGTTTCCTGTATCCAAGTATGAACTGGGTGCCAAACCATTCCAAGGCCAGAGGACAGTGTGAGCAAGACAGAGGTGGGACAGTGAGGTGGTGATGGTCGAAAAGGGGTACTTAGTTGTTCTTTATTTCTAATTGTTCCTGAGGGTATGGTCTTTTCAGAATCCCCTTCTACAAAGCTTTTTTTCCTAATACTCTAAGGTTGCTTTTAAACCTGCCTGCTCAGAAAAGGAGTGGAGAACAATTTACTCAGCAACAATGAAAACTGCTGATACCAATGATTAAAGGTAATAAAATTATTCTTGCCTCAAATTTCTAGAACAGATTGTTTTTGACTGCTCTTGAAAAAATGAGCAAATACCTGATTGAAATATAAAATACAGTAAAAATTATGTATAAAACTTGCAATAGAAGAGATACAGTTAGATAGTGGTGATAGGAAGTTAATCATAACCCGGACTTTGCCAATTTAAACTGGGTCCATATCACTTTTGTAATTTACAGAATGAGAATTCAGAATAAGTATTCTCTTTTAGTTTTAATATATTATTTAAAAATCAATTGTCAATAGTAATTGTCAATATTAGCTTGTAGAAAAGCTGTAGTGGTGCCTTATATTTTCAATAATGAGAATCACAATAAATAAGCAAATACTTAAATCACCATTTAACTAATTTTAAATCAATACATATGGTTATCTTTATAATATAAAATTGTTTAATATAATAATATATAGGCATCACATTAGCTTTCATTCTGCATAGGCAAAAATACTAATTAATGATAATATTATAAATGATGTATTAACAGAACATATTACTTTCAAGATGTTTTTATAACTTTTTCTGTATGTTAAAATATTATTCAGTACTTTTATAATTTTTTAATTCAATATTTTTATAACTTTTTCTGTATATTTAATCTATTTGTATAACCTTTTCCCTGTAAATTTAATGTAGCATCATTCAGCATTCACTATAAAGAAGATATTGTAAAGCATATTAAACAAATTTGAAAAAGTCAATATACTTAAGAAGCAGTGTTATTGAGAGCATCCTCAATAGTATATTACTTATTTCATAATAAATTATTTAGTTTTTCAGCTTTACAAAATTTAGTATACTGAAATACAGTCTTCTGAGCTATTTCTGAAAAAATATTTTTATCAACATTTTATTTCTAAGATTGTCCACATTATGACTATGTTGAAATTCACTTATTTTCTCAATGGTATAAATACATCACTGTTATTGTATTTATTAAGCTGTTGTTGGACATTTGTATTTTTCTATTGGTGTTTCTATTAGTTGTGCTGGTACTATATGTGTTCAAGAGTTTACCTAAAGGTATAAGCCAGAGAATACATAACTGTGCAAGGAAAAACGGAAATATATGTGGGTTACTTCAATTTTTATGCATTCCCATTGGTTTATATTCAAATAAGCATTTGAAGAAATCTTGTCAAACTTAACATTGTATCAATATGATTGGTGTTAAATGGTAACTTATTTTGATTAACTTGCATTTCTTTAAATATTAATGATATTGAAAACTTTTTCATGTGTTTATTTGCCATTTATATTATCTATTCTGTTAAATGTTTGTTATTAATTTTACCCATTTTTCTATTGTGCTGTCTTTTTTTCTTTTTGATTTAGTACATTGTATTATGTCTTATAGATACAGATCCTTTGTTAGGAAACACATTCACTCATTTGAAACATTTTTTTTCTCTTCATGGCATAGTTGGAGGAACTGAAAAAAATGTCACATTTGAATGTAATCAAATTAATCAGTTTCCTTTGCTACTAGTACATTTTGTACTTTGAAATCTTTCATGTACTTAATATAGTGTACATTAATATTTTTCCAAAGTATGTGTAGTTTTCCCTTATCCATTTAAGTCTTTAATTATTTCAAATGAATTTTTGTGTGAAGTGTAATCTATGGCCCATTTTGCAAAGATGATGACGTAGATAACAAGTTTTACTACATGCATTTCTTGATCAATTAGTACTTTCTTCATTGATTATCAATAGCACCATTATCATATATTAAATTTCTATATTTAGTGGATCTCTGATTGCTTCTGTTTTTTTGTTTCTGTCTATCCCATTGATACTGTCACATTGTCTTAGATCCTAATACCATACAATAATAATAATAAGACTTGATAAATGGTAAAACCAGTATTCCTTTTTTTGTGCTTCTTCATACTAGTTTGGATAATCTTTATACTTATAAATCTTAGAATCCTCTTTCAATTTTTATAAATAATTCTCATTGGATTTCTATTAGATTGTATTGAATATGCACATCAGTTTGGAGAGGCTAGTTTTATTTATGATATTTTGTCTTCCAACCACTTGGATGATAGAGCTGAAGTTTCTTAGATCTTCTTTAATGTAATTCAGTTAAGTATTCCCATATAGGTCCCTCATATACTTTTAGATTTGTTTCTAGATTTCCTTCCTTCATTCTTTTCTTCCTTCGTTCTCTTTTTGTCTTTTTTCCTTCATTTAATATTAAACTAAATAAGCATTTCTGGAACTAAATTGATGAAGATAGATTATTATACACATCAGTGGAGTGAGTTTGCTGTTATTTTTTTTTAAGCTATTGATACCTAATATCTTTCATGAGTGGGAGTGTCTGGTACTGATATAAAAGTTTTACAGAGCACAGAAAACAGTTGACGAGTATTTTCTTATTCCTCTGTTTTCTGTGGAAAAGGTGTAAGAGAATGAAATTACCTGTTTCTTTAAGTAAAATAATATAAACCTGATTTTTCCTCTTTGAAAATATTATTTTTACCTAAAATTTATTTTAATTATAGCACTACTCAGTTTTCTCATTTCTTTTTGAGCCACTTATGGCTCTTTTTAATGCATTCATTTCCTTATTGTTTTCAATATCTTCTGCATATGTATTTATATGACTTTTTCCTAAATAGTATTTGCCATCTCATGTTCTGCTTTGATAAATCAATAAATTTGTGTAGATCTTATCTTTTTTACTAGTCACATTCTAATATATCAGTCTGTTGTTTTAATTTTGGATTTTTTTAAGATAATGGCAGAAAAATCAGCAATAAAAAAAGAAATCTAAATTTCCCATTATGAATTCTGAATGTATAGCTTTGACATACAAAATAAACCATCACTTGCCTTTTTTTATATCTCAGAATTAATAAACTTACTGAAAAATGGGAAGATTGCGTTTAAGATATTTTAAAGAAATAACTAATATTTTTATATCTACCAGATTTATGTGTGAATTCTATGCTAAATTCTATTTTAAATTATTCTTTATTTTCCCCAAGTGTGACATGACATCACACACACCAAATATATTCTCCCATAAGAAGAAAATGATCCTTGTGTGAAGAATTTTACTTTTGATTTTCTCCAAGTTTATTTACATTTGAAACCTTGAACTTTTTAAAGATGATGTGATTTATTTTTTAACAGCTCTTCTGCTTGTCTTAGATTAATGATGACACCAATTGTTTATCCCTTAGACTCTGACAGCATACAATGAATTCTGACAACTTTCTCCCACTAGAGTTCTTGAATAATATGTAATTTCCCTGATATGATGAAAATATCATTTTAGCATTCATGTCATGTCTTGGTGTTCATTTTTCATTTTTCTGTAAGTTAATGAGTTTAGCAAAGAGTGTCTTCATAAAGTTGTCTTTTGCCAAAAGTCCTGCTACAGCATATGGATCTAGTGACAAGCTACAGTATTAAGGAGATTTGTTTTAAACCAAGCCTCTAAAGTGTGTGTGGAAATACTAAACACATCCCTGTGTGTTTTGCAGACAATCCTGGTTTGCTGAGCCATGTCACAGTGGGGATTAGAGTTCTGGATGTCAATGACAATCCGCCACAACTTGCCAGGGAATATGATATTGTTGTCTGTGAAAATTCTAAGCCTGGCCAGGTAAGTTAATTGTTCTCTTCCTCTCATTTGAATTAAAACAAACAAGAAACAACAACAACAACAAACTAAGCAGCTCTATTTCTATTATTCTTAGGTATAATTCTTGAAATCCCTCAGTGTTATTTTTCTGCTCAGTAAATAATTTTATAAAGCTTTGTTTTAACTCCCAAATATTTTTGTAAATCAAAGAAAATAAATTTTTTTCAGATCTCAAGTGTAATTCAAAATCTAACTCATTCATGCATGTATTCATCATACCGATAAAATCATATTGGATGTTTTGTGTGTAGCCCTGTAATAAATTAGGAAGAAACAGTGAACTTTCCTGTCGAAATGAAGCTTTGTGACTAGACTAGGGAGAAGAGACTGGTTCATCTATTTTGTAGGGCCCGAGAGAGTGACATGAGTCACGACTGAGTGATACTTGTACTAAAAGATGATTAAGTTTCAAAAATGTAGAGTATGTATGTATTAAGAAAGAGGGGAAAGTAAAAGAAAGAGAAAAGAGCTTGAACATAGGACATGAGTCTGGATGTATCATCATAGCTAGTTAAAGGAGCATGGAAATTCTGAAAGAAGGCCAGTGTGGCTGAGGCACATATAACAAGTGAGAACATGGAAGGAGAATTGCATTTGCCTTCTCAGCTGTATAACAAATTACACAAATTTAGCAGCTTAAAGCTCTTACTTATGTAAGAGTTTCTGTAGATCAGATATCTGCTCATGGCTTAGCTGGGGCTTTGCAGAGGTTTCCCAAGACTATAAACCAAGGTATCGATCCGGGCTATGTCCTTGCCTGGGGCTTGGGGATACCTTCCAAGCTCACACGATTGTTGGCAGCATTCAGTTACTTTCAACTGTAGACCTGAAAGCTTCAGAATCTTCTTCAGCTCTTCAAAATTCCCAGAGTTTGAGACGCCACCCACATTTTCTTGCCATATCAGTTTTCGTAGTATGGACATTTATTTCACCAAACAAGTAAGAAGTGATTCTGTAGTGAGTCAGGTAGGAAACAGATGAGTGATGTGTCAAATTTTTTGCCATATTCTATTGGTCATCAGCAAGACACAGGATACACTCACTTGAAAAAGAGATTACACCAAGTCAAGCAGTCCATGAGAGTCACCTTAAAGTCTGTCTGTGACAAATGAATCTCAAGATAAAAAAATATTCTAGGTCCAGCTGAGTCAGATAGTCCCTTTTACTGTCTTTGGTAAAACAGAATGAAGATATCATTCAAAATCACTTTAAATCATTTTGAAGCTTGTGATGTAAGTATAATTCAAAGAAATATTGCCTTGCGTATTTGTGTATGAGTAACAATCATTAGTAGCTTGCTAGAATAATAATTGCTTATGTGTTTTAAATACCCCCAGGGGAAATATTTATGTATATATAAATGCAGGACTCATTTTTTAAATACAATTTTCTCATGTTCATTGTCCAAAAGAAAATTAGAAAATATGAATAAGACAAATCTGATGAAAATTATATATTTAAAGTACTTACAGGTTATATGTTTTATTATTTTATCAATATGTTAAGATTATCACTTCATGTACTTAAGAATTTTCTTACATCACCATTTTAAAAGCAGTATAGAATTTTATGATATAGACCTGGAATAATTTGCTTGCCAAATCCTCTTTCAGTTGTGTTAAAAATGGACACACACATGCCCAATTATTTTCTTTACATACATTATAAATGTACAATTGATAAGAAAAATGTTAAAAATTATATTTAAAAATTTAGATTTTAAAAATACAGCAAGTGCATATGGGATCTCAATTCTTGGCAGATTAGACATAGCTGAAGAGAAAATAAGTGAATTAGAAAATAGGTCAGAATAAAATATTCATGTTGAAGCATGGAAAAGCAAAAAGAAAGTATAAATAAAGATATGAAAGGCATATAGAGCACACAGGTCTAACATACAAGTTATTCAATTCTCAGAGAGATATTAAAGAAGGGAATTTGGAAGAAGTAATATTGAGGAGATCATGTTTGAAAATTTTTCATACTGATGTTAAAGATCAAGTCAAATATTTAAGAAATATAGAGGAAAACAACAACAACAAAAAAATAAAGTGACTGACTACAAAGGTAACTTTACCTAGATGCCTTAAAATAAAAATTCAGAAATAAAATCAGATAATTAAAATAGCAAGGGGAAAAAGACAATACTTTTAGGAAAAAAATGAATCTAGTACGAGGTAGAGATTTTTTAGACTTGACACCAAAATTGTGATTTACAAAAGAAAAAAAATAATAATAAATTAAACTTGACCAAAACCAAAAATTTGCTTGAAGAAAGACTGTTAAGAAGATAAGACAAACCAGAAAGTGGGAGAATGTATTTGCAAACCCAAATCACATATCTAATAAAAGTTTAGCATCTAGAATATAAAAAGAATACTTAAAACTCAACAATAAAAAAAAAATTCAATTTAAAAATGGTCAAAAGACATGAGCAGACATACTAATAGATTATAAGTAAGATGTTAAAATATTGTAACTCCTTAAATTTGAGGGAAGTAGATAGGTTCCTAATTTGTAATAGATTTAATGTGTCAAGAATGCATGCTATAATCTCTAATTCAACTAATAAAAATTGTAAAAGACAATGTAACTAATAAGGTAATGGAAATTGGAATTAAAAACACTTAATTCTAAAAAAGTTGGGGTTTAATGTCCTATTTCTTTAACATTTTTTACCTTAATTGTGTTATTAAAATGTTTATTCTCTTTAAAATAATTCACACAAAAAATTATTGTGATTTTTCTCCTGCTATATTATCATTTACAGTATAAAAACAAAGAGAAATAGAAAACTTTTTATATAGGACCTAACTTCAAAGATTCTAGAATTGTACATTTAAAACTAAAATATAATCATAATAAAATGTGAAATTAATAACCAATATAATAATTCCAAAATTATCTACAAAGTTGTGTGAAGTTTGTAAAGCTTAAAATTAGAATGACAAAATTTCATATCTACTGTTGAGATATAGTTTTTTTCTTTGAACATATATAGGAATAATAAAAGATAAAAAATTAATATGCAAAATTGTATTTTCTAGGTAGAAGTCACAGAAAAAAATTTTAATCAAGAAATAAAAATAAATTAAGTAAAGTGGTGAAATAGAAAGGGAATAAAAGTAATGTAAATTTAAAGAAGTACATATTAATATTTATGTTAAAATAAAATCACCTAAATTTTCAAATTAAAAGATTTCTTTTGTCAAAATAAATAAGAAAAAATAGTCCATTAAATGTTGTTTACAAAGAAGCATATAATAAATATAATAAGAAAAAGAATTCGAAAGAAACATTTGGAAAAACATACTGAACAATTACTTGAATAATCACTCTAAATACAGTCACCTAACTGCACACATGTGTACACACATACACAAACTTTACCAAAGGAAAAATTACTAGCTATAAACAAGCACATTCACTGTCATAAAAACAGTCAGTGTACCAGGTAGAAATAATAATTTTAAATTTATATGTACTTTATTAACATTGCTTCAAAATGAACAAAGCAAAAATTGATTGAAATATTGAAAAACAAAAACAGACGAGTCTGTTATCCTATTGAGAGTTTTATATATACTTTTTCTGGAAACTGATAGAATAGTCATTTAACATTTTAGTAAGTATACTGAAAATTGAACATCATAATTAATGAAGTTTACTGTTTAATGAATATAAAATACTGTACTGAACAACTTCAGATTATGCATTCTTTCAAAATTTACACAAAACATTGACAAAAATATTTACTTTATGCAGGGCCACAAAGCAGGTTTTAATAATTTGCAAAAAATTGGTCTTATTATTTTTTCTGTGTGACAACAAAGTAAAGTTAGATACTAATTTAAAAATATTGTTATAGAAAGAAATACATTGGAAAAGAAGAAATGTACTTCTAAATAAGCCGAGTCAATGAAGTAATAAAAATTGAAAATATTAAAATGGAACGATAATAAAAATACACTATCAAAAAGAAAAGAAAAGAGGAAATCATTTTCTTGCTCATTTATGATGAAACTAACTTTAATATCAAAACCTGACGAGGATATTATTTGAATTATAGATATTCTCTTCCATTAACATAGAAATATCATAAATAAAATATTGCTAAAGAGTAGCTAGCAAAACTAATACTTTAAAATAAAAAAGAGAAAAATTAAGTTAATTTCAGTAGCTGAAGCCAAAGCTTTTGATAAAGTTCAACAACCATTAATAATAATAATAGTAGTAATAATAACAGCAACAGTGATAATACTACCATACACTAGTAGAATTTGTGAATGGAATTAACACTTTCCCCAAGTCTAAGATCGATGTAAATGTTATAAATTTATCTCTTTTATGTCTTTATATCTCAAATATAAATGAAAATTAAATACTATACCATTTAATATTATACTAATAGATTAAAATATCTGATTAAATGTTACCCCTCTTATGTATAAAGTACATGATCTATCAGTAGCAATCTTTAGTAAACTTTCCTTTTTTTCACTCACTCTGTTTCTTTGATTTATAGGTTATTCAGAAAACTCAAAATACAACATAAAGAATCAAAAATCGATACATAAGCTAATGGCTGTATCAGCCATTTTTAGATTTTTTTAAAGATAATTTGTTTTTTCCAATTTATATAAACAAATAAATTTATTCTTAATTTAAGATAATTTTAAAAGTTCAAGGACAAACCGTGATCTTGTATTAGGAGTAATGTACACTTGCTAAGCCATAGCCAACTTTGTGAGGCAAAATCACTGAAAATCTGGACAAATGCTACTGAGCCCTTGCTCTTGGATCAATTGATGCTTGTCCTGTGGATGTGAACATCAACTCCCAAATCTAAAACGTTAGTTTCAGTTTTCTGGATTGAACTCTCTTTGTATTGGCCTTATGATCTTGACTTTTTCAGTTGACCTTTTATATTGCCCATTTCTTACTCATATAAACATCCATTCAGGCATTCTCTAGGTCATGACTTCTCAATGTCACATTGCTAGCCTGGGACTTTTTTTACCTTCTGCATTGACCACCTAAGTTCTGTAGTGTTTTTAAGTGTGATTTTTTGTGACATTGACAAGTCTTTCTTCATCTCTAAAATGAATAAAATTATCCAAATTTCAGGGCCCTTTCAAACCATGAATATATGACTAGATAAATTTCAATTTTTTAAAAAAGTGGGCTACTTTATTCTTATATAAAAAGCCATCCATTTTTTAGAGAGGGTTAAATCAACAAAAAACATTTTTTCTTTTGTGGGTCCCATTCACTATTTATATAGTATTTCTCTTTTCTTCATATAACTGTTACTGTTTTCAGAGAATAATTGCTAGACTTAGCATCCCTAAGTTCTAATGTATTATGATTAAGTTTTGTGATTTTTTTTTTATCTTTTAAAAACTACTCATAATTAGCAGCATTGCTGTCTTCTAATATTGTATGAGTTTAGCTGTCACTATAAGATAATTGGATTCTTTATGTGGCTCGAACTTTTGTTTCCAATTCTTTCACCAAAATGAATTTAGATTTTTCATTGAGGGGATTATAACGTCATTTTTAAAATGTTTATTGTACTCATATTTAAACAAATCATTGCTAATCTGTGTGGTAAATCATTTAATTAACCCATTACAGGTAAAAATGGTCTGAATATTTTGTTTACTTTGAAATTTTTGGCTTATTCAATCTTATATCTATAGCATTTCTAGAGAAACTTTATATATTATGATGCAGAGAACTCTATATAAGTAACGATTTGGGCAATAGGTTTTCCAAAGCATATTTGTATTGCCCAGCCCATGACATTTGCTTTTAGAATTATAAGCATTTCTATTATGGATCCTGTGCATCTAAATATAACAGCATGTGGCTGTGGCAAAGACACTGGCCTTTTGTGAAAGCAGAGGTTTAAACCACATACAAGAGCAGAGTTTAGACCGATTCAAGTATCAATACAAAATGCAACAATATATTTATCTGAGTTAACGTATTTTCCTGTTCTGAAAAATCTTTTAAGTAACTTGCATGAAAAAAATATTAAAAAGAAGATTATGCATGCATGAAATTTGAGGTCAGTTCCTAAAATAGAGTGAATTTAAAATAACTGAGATGTGACTACAACTAGAAACTTTGAAAAATAATTGAAGGCAATGCTTTCTATCTTATTCATATTAACTTTTTCTCTGCCCCCCCCCCACCATTGGATGTAAACTTAGGAAACAAGACATATAAGATAAAAGATTTTATTACCTAACACCAGACTCTGCCCCTTTTACATCCAATTATTAACAATACAACTTAGGATGAAAAAAGTAAACTAGGTCAGTAGAGATTTTACACCGTGTCAAGGATCAAGCTAATTTAATCAACAAAAGTTGGTATTATTATCAAATAAATTTATGATCCCACTTGAGTTTATAGTATAAAGCAAACTCATTGATTAATTAAAAGGAAATACGCTCCATGGAATGTTCTTTTTAATTTAAATGTTTAGTCAGGGCTAGCTCCTTTACTTACTATAACATTACTCTATTTTTATAAATTTGTGATGCTATTTTTTTCCTAAGAATGTACTCCAGAAATAATATGCTATGGAAAACACATTTAAACAGGAAGATACATTTATTTGATAAAATAAATAAAATTGATTATGATTAATTTCTGCCAAAAGTAAATACTTTTTCATGGACATTATAAAAAACTATGCTGGTAATTATTTATAAATACCAACTATAATTTGGATTTTTTCCCCTTTGGTTAACTAAATCAGTACTTTTCTATTCCTCCTCATTTCCTGACCAACTAATGGGCTCAGCATAGAGAGGAATTTCAGTTTAAACTGTAATAAATTTTGGTTATTATTTCACTTGCAAAACATAAAAATTGGGTCAAATTAGACATACTGTATTTCACATACAAGAAATTCCATTTTTATGGCTCTTTTTACTCTCTCTCTCTCTCTCTCTGTCTCTCCTCTTTTAATGTTCCTAAAGGAAGATTGGAAAGGGGCAACCTAAGCATTAGGATGCTAATTTTTTTTGAATATTTATTTTTAAGAATATAATGGCTATACTATCAGGATTTATATGCTGCTCTTAGGCCACCTGTAATATGTTTTTTACATATTCTAACTTTCTCTGCCCCTCAGTGTGCATAAAGCCCAAATTTTGGACTTGTTTCCTCTCAACCACTAGAAATGAGGAATATTCCATACAGCTCTGAGTGGTCCGGTTTTGTCTTCGCCCCTATTTTACTATTTAGCTTTGAGACACGACTCTCTTTTAGAGACCCAGGTTCCTTATCTCTAAAACACAGGAGCTGGCTCATGATCTCAAAGGTAAAAAATATATACGACACCACTGCTTTTGCATTTACTGATTGAGATTGACGTATACTGCAAGGCTGTTCTACATCAGCACTGAGATATTTGTATTTGTGCAAACAATACCTCATGTCTCCCCAAACAGGTATTCATATAAAATCTTAAAACTAATTGGCCCAGGGTACTGTGGGTGATAAAGGAAAAAAAAAATCTAATGTTTCAGCTATGCTAGAAAATAAAATGTGAGTGATTATAAGTTGTATCGTAATATGTTTCCTGAAATCTAATGCAAGTAAGATCAAGTTAATTGGTACTTATGCTAGATAAATCTGAAAACACTGAAGGTGGATAAAGAGGTCTTTTACAAATCCTTTAGTGTTAACAGCTGAAAATGTTATAATATAATTAAAATCAAGAGAATAAGCGAAGTTAAATTTACTATTTAGTGTTTGTTTTTTCTTTAGGTTATTCATACCATCAGTGCCACTGATAAAGATGATTTTGCCAATGGACCAAGGTTTAACTTTTTTCTTGATGAACACCTGTCTATAAACCCAAACTTCACCCTGAAGGACAATGAAGGTGAACATGAATATATATATTTTTTGATCTATATCAGCTTCAATTTGATGTGGAATAGGCCTGAGCAATTTTGCTATTTTCTTATATACCCATGAACAGCTTGCAAATCAGCATTCAAAGTCGGTTTGATGTTAATGTGTTATGATCTGTGAATAGCTTGTATTTAAAATTGAGCCATATGTACAAATAACTTTCATTGAATTTATTCAGAAGCATCCCTTTAAACAAGAAATGTACATGTAATGTGCTCTTGGGCAAATTTTAAGAGAAATCTTAGCTGACAAACATTTTTATGAGAGCCGCTGCAACTGCTAGGGGTGGAAAAAATTTAAATTAGGAAAAATGAAAAATGTGTCCTAGGGACAGTTAGGAAAGGAAATGCAAAGTTTAAAACGATCTTGCATTAGCGAGGCTGCAAAGATGTGCTGTACAAATTATATTTCCTCCTGTTGTTATGAAGGTTTTCCACATGATAGGTAGATAAATACAAATTATTGGAGAGTATTGTGGAAATTTTTAAATTGTTTTAGTTTAACTGTCTGTATTGTTGTGTGGTGAGGAAACACCATAATTTACTAACCAGAGAAGATTCATCATGATTTAGATTCATCAAGGCTGTGTAAAAGTCACTCTTCCTTACAGAGGAAACATTAAGTCACTCAGTATGTACGAGTTCTGATTAGCAACAGTTCTTTTCTTACTGAAATTATCTTTGACTGCATTTACCTGAATATGCTGTCATTTGGGATGTAACACTTGCCTCAAAATCATATGAAAGAAACAATGGCATATACATTTTGGAGTAAACTTTTAATTCCGTTTCTGTACTCTTCATGGGGAAGCATTTTTAAAAACAAGGTAAAATAATATCATTTAATGACAATCCACTAAAAGATTTTTCTCATTGTCCTTAAGCTTCTTTAAATTGTCATAACAAGGATACAAAATTGTGAATGTGTTCATAACAAGGTTTATATGAAAATACAAAGCTTGTTTATTTCTCTCATGGTCAGCTTTACTTATGAGAATACATATTTGTGTATGACACATTGTAATTAATTGACTATTATACATCTTTACATTCGAAATCCCATCCTACAATCCCAAATATATTTAGTATAATTAACTACAGCAAATATGTAAAAAATCAATTTATATTTCCCCATATTTCAAATAATTGCATGATTTGAGGAGCATTCAACTTTCTGCTATAGGAGATTAATATCATGTCTAGAAACCCGTAATTATATTTCAACTGTTGTTGAAACCCATATTAGTGACTAAAAGTCCTTCATATACAATTATTATATCTGGAATTTGTGAATTTAATTAATGAATATATTCACAAGGTCTTCATACAGTGCTCTGACAGTATCATCAGTGCTGAGAACTCGCATTTAAGGAATTCCTGTCAAAATATATATGCAATTTTAAAAGGGTTTATAATGTAGATATAAATGTTTTAACATGTATTTTAATCACACATATAAAAGCTTAAATCAGCTACATCATTCAAAGTATAAGAGAACTGTGGATAATTGTAAAGATGTAGAGGTAAAGATGTTTGAATTTATTTGTAAGACCATTTTTTAATTTTTTTGAGAATTGATGAAATTATAAATAACAGAGATGACTTATTTTGGATAGAAAAAAAATTAGCAATTTTCTGAAAAAAGGTACCAATGGATAGCTGAAAACATGTACTTGATCAAAGAGATTTGGTTATGCTAGATCAGAAAAGCCACTTAGCCTCCTTGAGCCTCAATTTTTACATCCATAAATTGTGGTTCAAAATACCCATGTTGTAACATTGAGAGAATTAATGATACCATATACAAAAGTATTAGTCAAGACAGCCTTTTCTCTAAACACAAGGAAGTTATGGATAATAATATGTAAAAATGAAATTTAAAATGGAATAACATACCAAAATGAATGCATACAAACGTACATACATTTACGTCTATGCAAATACTTCTCTAGACAAAAAAAACCAGAATGAACGCACAGAGTAAGAGTCAGCAAACCCAGGCCTGCTGAATGCTGGTCACTTGGGCATTGCCTTATATGTGTTAGTAAACATTTACATGACCCCAGAACATAAAGAAAGAAAGCTAGAATAAAAAATTGAAACCACAAAAAAAAATTACAACCATTTTTTTTTTTTTCTGTTCCCATCGCTTACATGAAAATGCTAATTGAGGGAATAATAGAAATAGAAGTCAGACAGAGCCTCCAAGCCAGGATGAGTGATCAGGAAGCGATTGGTGTAGTGGCATCTCCAACACCACTGTCTGGTAAAGAGTGAGTGGAAAGGAAAAGATATTTCCAAAATAAGAGAGAGAAAATGTGTATTATTGTATAAGCCTGAAAAATCAAAAAATTTGAAGTCAATAAAATGGGAAACAAATCAGAAAATGAATTTACTCTGAATAATACAAAATACATAAATAAATGATCAGAAAAATAGTATAAGCATTTTTAGGATTCTCAAAATTAAAAAGAAAACCAACAAAAAAGAACAAGTGATTAAAAGAAATGAGACAATGGAAAATGAGTTTATATAAAAATAATTTTTAAATCCTTATCAAAATAAAACTATATTTCTTGCATATACAGAAAAGTATAGAATAATATAAGAAATAATTTACTTTAACACAGATAACTATATATAAACATATATTAAGAAATTAAAATTTAAAATGTAATTATATATATACCTGTGTATGATATGTAATATATGTATACAAATTATATACATAAAACTATAGTGATTGAATAGACAGAAAAGTATATAGAACTATATAGAGAAATAGCTAGAAGTATAGTTATATGTATAGACCTATATAGATATAAATGTATAGCCATACATTTAAAACTTAATTATACATAGACACATATATGTATAATGTATGTATATGTATATACACACATACACACAGACACAGAGAGAGAACAATGAAAACTTAATAGCATTACCTCTAGACTAGACAAAAAGATTTAACAAGTCAAATAAAAAATTCATTAATTAATACAAATGAAGCTCAGATAGATCAAAATAAAGAAAAACTGGTAAGAATACTTAACAGATATGAAGTATAAAATGTCTGGAAGAGCTATGAAAAATCAAAGCTGTAAGAAATATGTGTGTATAAAATTGCCACATGATAAAAATGAAATTTTACAGTTGATAAAAATCATGTGCTCAAAATGCTGAAGGAAAATAATTTTCAATTCCAACCTTCTCTATATATAGTTAAAAGCAGTAAACTATTAAGTATGACAGTTAATATGACAGTTATTAAGACTTTTTTCCAATATATAAGAAGAAACATTTTATTATTAGCTACTGATATCTTGGCAAATATTCTATTAATCTTTGTCTTCGGGTTTTCTGAAAAAATAATAGGCAAGAACAAGAACTTGAAATTAATATTTTATTTCAATTGTTAAAACTTGAAGAGTTAACACTAAATTAATAGAATAAGAATCTATAGTTTTCAAAGCAAGAAAAGATTTCTTAAAAGTTAATAATAAAGCTTATTTTATCAAAAGAACACAAGATCAGAAAGCAGAATAAAAGATGCAAAGTAGAAGCATGGAAAATGAAATTAGCAGATAGCTGTTCAAATATACCATAGTCACAATCAGATTAAATACCATTGTTAAAGATATTACATTATGTTTTTTAAATATACCATTTTACCACATAAGTAAAGACCATCAAATTTTTATATTAATTTGTAACAAATATAATTTTAATCATAAACTATATTTAATAATCTGTTAATAAATTGAAAATGGTAAAAGATCAAGTAAAACAAGAATATATTGAAAAAGATGAAGGAGTTGTATAGTTAGAATAAAGAGAAGAAAAGAGGCGTATTTTAACAGATATCAAGACCTTATAAAGAGGAATGTAGTATGAGCCCTGATAGTTGGTTTTTCTTTTTTCTTTTTCTTTTTTGTAATGCAAGTGCCTAACTTAAGTTTTGATTGTTGAGGCATCCAGCTCAAAAATGACTGTTTGGAATAAGCCATTATCAGCCATAGGACTGGATTCAGATCCAGGCCACCTTCCTGCAGCTCTTTTGCTTTAGAGGACTTGGTTAATTTTGACAACTGATCATTTAGGCTGTCTTTTGTTTTCTCTTCCCACACTTTAAATTCCCACTCTTATGTTTTAAATTCACCAATAAAGAGTAAGCTCACAAAAGCCTAGGTCCTCTCCCTCAACCCCAATAAAAGCAAACCCCAGGCCCATATGCTCACTCTCTCTACCTGGAAACTGTATGGTCCCAGGTGTGACATGTAACTGCCATGGTATGTAAGTAATAAAACTTTCTCGAAGTTTCCTGATGGTTATTGTTGAGGGCATTTGCAATCATAAGAACCTAAAGGTTCTTATGCTGAGTGAAATAAGTCAGACAGAGAAAGATAAATACCATATGATTTCACTTATATGCAGAATCTAAGGAACAAAAAGAACAAACTAATCAAAAACAGACTCACAAATATAGTGGACAATTTGGTGACAGACAGAGGAGAGAGGATGGGGGGTGCTGGGAGAACAGGGTGAAGGGTTAAAGAAGTACAAATTAATAGTTGATAGATCATCACAGGGATGGGGAATATGGCAGAGGGAATACAGTTAGCATGAATATGATGGCTAGGTGGAGGGTTAGGGGAGGGAGGGAGCAATTGTGGGGATCATTTTATGAACTATATAGATGTCTAACCAATGTACTGTATATCTGAAACTAATTAAAATTCATTCATTAATTAATTTTAAAAAAATGCAAGGGCCTGTTCATCCCCAACATCAGTTATTGGTAATCTGAGGTAGGCATACAACAATGAAGTGCCCCTTAAATATGGAAGTACTACAGGTACAGGTAAATAAATGAGGAGAACAAATTAAGAAGGCTAACAGGTGATATATGTTGGGAATATATTTGTAGAAAACACCAGCATACAGCCAATATCCTGCTCAAGGCAGC